TTGCCGGCCCCTAGAGCTCTGACTGGTTGCAACGGCTGTCCGTCAAGTTACGTCACGGCGCGGGGGCTAGCGGGGTAGGTTGCGACCGGCGGGCCTGCGGACTTCCTTCCTGCCCCCGCCCCCACTGCCGGCGGAAAGGCGTCACACGTCACTCTGGGACGTACGGCGCGCGTGGGAATGGGGGACAAGGCTGGGGGAAACGGGCTCTAGCGCATGCGCACAGCGCCAGTCGAAGCAAGGGTCGCGCGGCGCCCTCAGCAGCGCGCGGTCTGGGCGGGCATGTGGCCACGGAGGCGCGTGAGGCGGGGCCTGGTCAGTGACGTCACGGGACCCCCCCCTCCCTTTCCCCGCGCGCTCCGGGGGCCCCTTGAGGGAGCGCGAGGCGGGGCGGGCGGCAGCGAAGGGAGCGGGCAAAGGGCGGGCGGGATCCGCCCCGCGTGTCACGGAGCCAAAGTGAGGGGATTTCGCCTCGAAATCCCCCTCGGTGACGCTACCCATAGCGCCTGCAGTGTGCTGCCACGTGGGGCTGGAGGGAAGCGGGTGCACGGCTTTGTGGGATGCCAAAATAGTACCGTCCTGACGAAGATGAGAGGCTTACAGAAGGGACCACTACCTGAACGTATGAAGGTGTCTCAGTCGTCAGCCCAGCAGGCTGGGCAGCGTGGTGGTGCTTAAAGAGAACGTGTTGATATTCGCATAGTGTGGGCTTCCAAGCAGAATATAAATAATGAATTCCAGACATGACTGCCATCTCACCCTGCTTGGCAAGGTGGAGGAAGAGCTCTTAGAAAAGCCCAGTGTCATAACGTCCAGTGTTCAGAAGAGGTGGACTGTTTGCCTTAACTATGGACATTAAAACTGTGAGAATTTCCCAGTGTCTGGCGTTCGAAAAACTTTTTTTTCTGTGTGTGCTTTTATGCTGTGCTGGAACTGGTGTAAGTGTGCGCCCGTAACTGCTTGTGGAGCAGTTGTCATCTGAAGTGCTAACATGAAACATAAAGGAGTGAGGACAGTAAAAATACATCAAAAATACATCAGAAGTTCTTCTGATGGCAGACCTTTGCAGATAATTCTAAGTAAGAACATTTAGAAATCATCACTCCCTAGCTCAGACGGTGTATTCCCTTCCAGTGCTCGTCCTGTCTATAGCACTCTTTTTTTAGACTTTTTACCATTATTGTCAGGACTGAATTTGATTTAGTAAGGCTTCTGTGTCTTAGATGATTCCAGGAGCCAGATGTATGTAACTTAATATCACAAGACACGTGATAAAACCCCTGGTCTCTCATATTTTTAAAGGAGGAAGGAGCTGAAAGTACCTTTTAAGCTGCTCTAAGAAATTACAGCAGTGTAAATTCTTAAGCTTCTTTAAGCACTTGATGTGGACTGATGCCCAGCTGACATCTATTCAAAGGTTCTCCCTTTCTTCACAGAATGCGGAGTTCAAGCATCTGTAGCTCTCTCAATTTCCGTTGCATTTTGCCTTTTAAATTTTTTCGTACTGAGCATTGCACGTTGTGCTTCATAGTTAACCCTTCTGATGCACGTGGAGGGGCATTGTAGCCAATGTCTTTTTAGGTTTTTTCCTGGAAGCTGTTTTTGAAAACTGCAACTTAGTTCAAGACAACCAAATTGTTTTTTGTTAAACTTCTGAAGTAAGGAAATAAGGCTCTCGGGGAAAATATTGAACCTGTGAGGTTTTCAGTGCTAAAGATTAGTGTACTGAAATCAGTCTGTAAAATGAGCTGTTATTTTCTGAGCCTTACACCTGATGTCTGCAATGTGACTGACTGCCAGCAGTCATGATGAGATACACTTTCCTGAAGGTGGAAATGATACAACAAAGAGTATTTGTGGGTTTGCATACTGTATTGTTACTGGAAGCAGAAGTTCTGCCTGATGTAAAAAGACTATAGTTTAGAAGATGTGTTTTCACAGTAAAAAGAAGTATCTTGAGTGGAAAGGATTTGTCTTGTCTGATTAGGTCCATTTGGGCATTACCAAGTGTGGATTTGGAGCGACACAGTGTTAAGAGCTGGTTTGTAAGTAAAACAGGAGGTGCAGGAGAGGGGTTGTTCAAACTGCCCAGTGTTTACTTTTTGAAATGTTCTCTGGTAGGACAGACTAATAGTGAAATTTTAGTCTTCTCTGCTAAATATGGCATCTGTAGTGTATGCGTGAATCCCGCACATGCAGGACAGAATGTGTTGTTGGACTTCCAGAGGCAACACTGAAGACAAAGTCAGGGCTTTTCTGGCTTTGTGGTTTGAATTGCTGGAGTAAACTACAATGACTCAGGGTGCATTTTCAACGCTCTATATTTTTCTACATATATTAACATCCATTAGATTGTTTGCCTAGAAGGCTCATATTTTAGTCTTTCAGTTATGCACTGTGGTTATACCTGAAATACCTTTGCCTTTTTACTAGCCTGAGCTAGCTAAAAAGGCACACTGGAACAATACTTATTATGCAATCGGAATTCTGAATGTAATTCTATGTAATCCTGTCCTAAAGGAAGGAAAAATAAACCAACTGTGTAAAGTCCAATAGTAAAGGAAACATATCAAAAGAGCCATCTAGCTCTCCTTAGGAGGTACACTGCAGATGAAAGAAGAAAGATGGCATTACATTATGGACCTAAACTGGAACTCAGGAGAACGTGTGATTTTTTTTCTCAATTCTGTGATAAACTTGTTGTTTGGTCTTTGGCAAATACCTTAAGAACCCATTTCTTGTGTTGAAATCTTCAGGGATGAGGTGTTTGAGTACCTTGGCCTCTTTTCATCCTCTTACCACGTGTAAGTGGACTAAGCCTGAGCTGCTGCCAGTTATCAGCGAATTGTACCAGCGTTGGGGAGTCTGTGATTTGTGCTGCAGTCACAGTCATGTGAGCTGGTTTTAAGAAAGAGCTTGAGTTATGACCTGAGTCATAAATCTTATCTCGTCACAAAACACTACTGACTAATTTGCACCATTATGAATTGTTCAGAAGACCTGCTTGCCTTTTTTTTTATTTTATTTTATTTCTTTTTTTTTTAATATATTAACCTTTGCAATTGTTTGGGAGAAAGGTGTATCTCCATAGTTTTTTCAAATCCTTGTTTGCCAACATGAAAGAATGATTCTAGGCTGGGTTTGAAAAATCCTTGATGCTAGGGCTTTTCAAAACTGTTACAATGCAAGTCCTTTCATTTGGAATATACTCATGGCTTTATGTTTATTTTGTCTTTAACCCATTCACTCAAACAGGTGACGAAAAAAGTTAGGAAGCATTAGAGACTGAAATGCTAGGACAAGAGGGCACGATGTTAAGCTCTAGCAGGGGAACTTTAGGTTGGATATTAGGAAGAAATTTTTTATGGAGAGAGTAATCAGCTGGATGGAATGGGCTGCCCAGGGAGGTGGTGGATTCACCATCCCTGGAGGTTTTCAAGATGAGACTGGATCACAGAATCATGGAATCATAGAATCAGACGGGTCGGGAAGGCCCTCTGAGATCATCAAGTCCAATCCTTGATCCACTACCACTGTGGGTACTAGACCATGGCACTAAGTGCCACATCCAGTCTCATCTTAAAAACCTCTGGGGATGGAGAGCATGTGACTAGCATGTGACTTTTTAGCTTTCTCAATCATAGTTTGATCCACTGCTTGAATGAACTTTAGCAGTAACTGTGCTGAACAATCCTAGCATTTGATATTCAATGTATGTATGCTTTAAGCGGATGAATATTGTCCAGACAAATCAACATGGCCCAGGGTAGGCCTCTGCCAGTCACTTTTTTGGAAGGCAGAGGGCAATACAATTGCTCAATTTTGAATTAATGTAAGCTGCTAGTTTGGATTTTCATTTCCAGAGACAAACTTCTGAAAGTGTTCTTTGAAGCATTTAGCATCACAGAGCAAAACATTTGTTTCTTCATCACACTAGAGAAAAAGTTAGGCAGCTTTTCCATTACAGATACAGGGATTCAATTATTAGAAACTTGTAAATGCTATTTCAAAAGGGATTTCCTTACTTGGATTTTTTTTTTTAATGCAACAGAAAAAAAGCAGGACAATTTGGGGACTTTTTATCCAGGCCCATTTTGAACTATAACTAAGGAAATGATGGCACCTTACTTAGTTGCCCTGCTTCTTGTAGGTCTGTGCTGTTTGAACCTGAAAGTGCTGTATAGCCAGCAGAGCAGGAGACTATTCCTTCTGTTTTACCTGCATAATTGCTTGGTCAGTTGTAATCAATCAGAGCTGTGTATGTAAAGCCAGGTAATGATGCATTAGCAAAACACAGCTCAAATTAATTTGCTCTGCTTATATACCAAGTTGTGCTCCACTTGCGTGAGTAGCATTGAATGCAAACAGTATCTTTTCACTTTTCTACAGGCCACAGAGAATATAAAAACTGTTGAAGACAACAAACACAGAGTTTTTCAATATAAAACTATTCTATTCTTTAGAGTAAATATTTGCATTAAAATCGAATCTGTTAATGTTACTGATGCGCCCTGAAGGAAGAAAGGCAAATCACTCCTGTAAGTGGAGGAGGATAAATCATAAAAATTCTGCCGAACTTACACTGGTATGGTGAGTAAGGAAACAATAGTCTGCAGTGTTAATACATCACTTATGAATACACATAGTGCAATAAGGACAGTAAGTTGATGAGTTCAGTGAGGTTGCCCATATTAATACCAGCTGAACATCTAGGCAATACTCTGCAGTGCTGTGCCATTCACATGAGAGCTGCCAAGTTGGTTTATGGAGACTGTACTCATACTGCTCAAGGCAAAAGGTCTTTTGAATTGCTGTCTTGTATGGGTGCCAACTTAAAATGATAAGGTAAAAAGTAAGCAGATAATCACAACTTCCCCGTCTGCAAACCCTGAACAACTCATTAATCCATTACAGAAGTTCTGTCAATCAGCTCTGTCAAGACTGATTTAGTATACTGAACTTTTGCCTCTGCTTTAGAGTGAGCTTTACCCTGTGCTTAAGTATTATCGAAGGGAAGGTTTAATTCTGCCAGCTGAATCTGATAATACTCTTGCCAGTATTACTTGTGGTGGAAGCACAAGATTCTTAGTAAATGCAGTATTTACTCGTTCCATGTCTTCACCTAGTTCTCCAATTAATATGCAAAATGCTTTCATGTGGTAGCTGTCCAGGATAAGGGCTAGGTCCTCTTCCTTAACAGAGACATATTTTATTGTCATGCATTTTTATTGGTTAGGAAAATCAGAATTAATGCACAATCCTCCTGAAAAACCTCAGATAATTTACAGTTTGTGTCCTTTGTTAAATGACAAAAAATAAATTTCTTTGAGAAATTTAGGGGATAACACTTAGTAGACTCTCACTGCTATCCCAAATGCTGTGAAGTCCTGACTGTATATTGTGATTTCCAGAGCCCTTACAGTGTTTTATAGCATGTTGGTTGTTCTTGGAGACAGATTTTATTCTAGCTGTTTAAAAGTGGAGCTGGGGGCCACTATCTTTGGTGGATTTGAATAATACATGTGACCCTTTTCTTCAACAAAATTAGAAAGCTGAAGGATAAAAAGAAATAGGTAAGGTATAAACCAAATATATGTGCTGGATGGAAAAAAGTATTTTAAAGACTTGAAATACCCTGTGTTGCATCATGCTCCTCTCCCTCAACTGTCTGTTTAGCAGGTGCTAATAAAAGTAAAATCTGGTAGAAAAATGTATTTGCTAAAATATTAGTACTCAAGTGGAAGTTTCAACAGGTACATAATTCAGCTGAACACAAGTAAAATAATTTTGAATCAAGTTCTCCGTGGTAGTCACATGTGGTAGGCAGGGAAAGCTATGTAAGCTTTCTTTTGTAGTCACAATTATAGACTGCCTTAAAATGGACTGCCTCTTATTTCTTCCATTGCCACATCTGTAAACAGGGTGTCTACAAAAGCTGTATCTTTCTTTTTTCACTGCTATTCTACATTATTCATAGCTTTTATCTGTCATCAAACTTCAGGCTGTATCCCTTTGGGAAGAGATCTAGTGTTTAGCCAAGCTGAAGAATAGTAAAAATGTGATCATTCATAAACAAAGAGGACATGTATTTTCTTGAAGACAGGGAAATAGACACCAGCCTGTCAGTATGTTGGCAGGACTTGTGGAGATGTAAGGAGGAGCAAATATCTACTGTTGCCCAAATCCATTTTTTTGGAGGTCTGCAGAGCACAATCTGTGCTCCTGAATGAAGCACATCCCCCTTCCCCACCCTCTACTCTCCCAAATATATGGTCAGAAGCTATTATTGCTTCTTCTTGTCTCCAGAGCTACTGATGCCTAATTCATGACCTGCAAGTGTTTGGAACAGTACAGGAGCTCTCTGTGTAAAAATGTCTTCCATGAAAGAGATGCAGAGAAATTTAACTTAAAAAAAAAAAAAAAGGCCTTTTGCTCTTTTCTGTGTGAGCTACATACTTGGAAGTACGTGTGTGTCCTTGCCAGTGCACAGCCTTCTTCAGGAAGTCAGAGAGAATACTGGCAGCTTCATGCCTGAACATATTACGTACAGGGGAAATATTTAATATATTCTAATGAAACACCATTGCTCAGAATGACAGATGAATCTGCCTTTTAAGCTGTAGATGAATGTTCACTATAAAGACAGCTCTGCTGATAGAAAAGGTTCTTCTGTGAGCTGCTGCTAATGTCTCTTTTACCTTTGGAAACTGACCTGATGGATGTGCAAACAGAAATCCTTTTCACTCTTTTGGTACAAAATCAGCAGGATTAGATCAGATCAGCTTTGTAATCAGCATAAGTTAACCAAATGATGTGTGGCGAAGTCTTTTTGGGAGCACTCAGTGTGATCATCTGCACCACTAGGTCTGCAAGACTAGTTGTCTTAGGCTAAGAGGTGGTAACAAGCAGCTGAGGGCTGGATCTTATACCAGAAAAAAACCTGCCTTTGCAGAAGGCCATCTTTCCATGGCCAGTTACAGGAGCACTGAACTAATTCACACCCCAGCAGGGAAGATTCTTGTTGCATTTTCTGTGCGTGATTTTTGCAAACAGCAACAGCAAACAATAAAGCTTGATGAATTGTGAAGCTGGCTCTGAACTCATAATGTCACCGTCAGGAATAACTGAATGCTTGTAGATGTCTTGTAAAAATCCAATGCACTACAGTTAGTTTCCAACCCTATTTCTCTCACTACTTTTTTTCTCCAGAGTCTTTCTGGAAAGACTCTACAGAGTCTGTCTACCTGTTTCCTTATTTAACTTACAACGATGCTGCCAGCATTAATTACATAATAGCTACAATGAGTTTTGTAAAGGTGAGATGTGGAGAAGGCACAAAACTTTTAAACACAACCTTCTAGTAGTAAAAGTCACCTGAGCGTGATCTGGGTTATTGGCACTTAACCAGAGATTTTTCCTTCAGTCACTGAGAACTGGAGTGTCCACATCTCAGAGGAAGTAAAAACATGGAGGGAATAGCAAATGAAGTTAAAGTATTTTCCAAGTGCCAGTGGTAGCTGTCCCCTTAGCTAGTAATTTTGAATCTGCTAAGCTTTGTTGGAAATAGGTCTTGGTCTCTGATGACGCTCCTGTTGTGCAAAAATAGGCTTTGTAAGTCCACCTCCACACGATTAGTGTTTCTTAAATTGACCAATGATCAATGAAAAGTGATTAAAAATTACTAGTCCTAGCATTACATATTCTGTGGAAACATTTTTGTTTTGGATGGACAAATACTCCACTAAAAATAGCTCATGCACCCAGTTACATATGTAACTGTGCTGATGACTGGGAATGGCAGCTACGTAATGCAAATTGACCTTCAACTTAACATTATCAGCTTCTACTCTCCTGAAAAGCTTCTTCTGCATGCCAGCATATGCTTTTTCTGTTTCACCCAGTTATTGCCAAATCCTTCCTGACAAGCAGTACCATGGCACATAGGGGTGCTGACTTTCTTCTGTCCTGAATTCCCCATAACCATGTGTGGTCATTAACTGCCAAGGACATCAGTTCATGCAGGTGATCTTTAAAGTCTTCCAAAACAAAGTACCTGTCAATTGTAGTAGAATGCCTACAGGAAAAAGCAGATTAAAAACAAAAATTTCGTGCCCTTTCCTTCCAATATGTTATGTAAAACATTCTCAGGGTAAAATGCTGCTGAGGTTAAAAACAAACACTTCATGATGGCTTACATAGTGTTCTGTAAATAATGAAGTCCAGGGCTTCATCTCAGTCTTTGTAAGGGATAAGAAGAGTTGTTTTTCTCCCTGAATCTTGTTCTACCATCCATGTAGTGATAAAATGTTTAAAAACATTCAACTCTTATTCCAGGGCTATTTCTGTTGTCCTCAGCAAAGGTATAGCAGGCATAACTTTGGCCCCAGAAGTGCTAGTTTTTGATCCCACTGATGCTTTTTAATTTTCATTTTTGTTTCCCTGCTTTGGACTGTGAAGAATTATTTGTCTGACAGAAGATATCAGATGCACTAAATGATCCATGTTGCTTTTGTGGGGAATAGCAGCTATGTTAATAGCTCTCTTGGCTTCTGAGGCTACAAGGTAGTCACATGAGTTGCATTTATTCATCATTCTCAGTGCTGAGAATCATTCTCAGTACTCTCCATGGGGACTGCAACTATCAGCATATATAGATCTAATTTAAGCCAAGGTGCTCACCTTGACCACTGATGTATTCAGATTCTGGCTCTGTTAAATTTAAACTTCACTAAGAAAAGAGTTGCGGCTTCAGTAGCTTTTCTAAGTACGTTTCAAGAATAAATGGTAAACCAGCAGAGCACTGTCTTACCTCTGGTCTTCCTCAGAACAACCATGTCAAAAACCTTGCTAGAAATATTGGTATGAGAAGGTTGATGACTGATCCCACTGTCTCGATCCTCAGTGTCTTGATCTGAAGTTTGGGAACACGGTGTACCTAGAAATGTGTGCAGGGTAGGGCTGAGAGGGGGGAAATGGCAGGCACAGTAGTCTTGCATTGGTTTGAGTTGTTAGGAAGAAGAAAAAAAGAAAGAAAATTTCCTTATTTCACATTTCACTGAGTTTTAGATTAAATATGACACTTTGCAAGAACTGAGAATCAGAAGGGTGATATCTTAATTCTTTAATCCTCTTTTGCTTGCACCCTGAAAAGAATTCCCAATGATGCTGCCCTTGCAGCTTTCATACATAATCAGTCATACTGATTCTCATTTACTTTTATGGGACTTAAGGGAAGGAGAACGTGGACTTGCTTCTTGCACAGCTCCAATTAATAGTAACTGAGTTTTTGCTTGTGTAATCAAAATTTGCCTCATTTATTTCTGGAAGGAAGGAGGATAAAGTTAAACTGGAGATTTTTATGGGATATTGAGAACTGGGATTTCATGAAGTACCCACATTCCTGTGGCTATTCTTTTCGGCTTTCAGTTGTTAAGGACAAAATAGCTAAAAACTTTTAAAATCAGGGGAATAATGAAATCTGAGGAAAACTGAAGCAGTGGTTTATTGCAGTAAGAGAGACTAGCAACCTATCTGAATTCTTCTAAACTTTACCACAACTGCATACAGCAGCTTACTGGGAGCAAAGACCTTCCCCCAACTGCTTTGTAAAGCAAAGTCCCAACCTTATACAGGAGCCAAATTAATTCTGTTCCTGAAGTTGTGCATCATGACATAATGAGACATCTTACCAAGCTAGGCTTTTCTGAGACTTCTCTCTCATAAATCTGCTTTATGAGAGAGAAGCTGTGCTTTGTAGGTGCTCCCAAACACTTTAATTCACGTTAGGTAAAGAGGTCATGAACAACACAGCCAAGAAAACAGATTAGCCCATAGGCGAGTCAGCAAGATCGATATTTGTTAGGAAAGTGGGTGTGCTGGGCAAACACTGCTAATCTGCTAAAACTAATCATTACATGCTTCATTCAAGAGAGATATTTTTGCCTCATAGTGTTACTGTTGCTTATTGCCAAGGAACCTGCACTGTGCAATTATGGCTGTAAGAGGAACAACTTGCCCTTTTATTTCATTAAGGAAAGATAAGATAAAGTGGAAACATACTTAGCCATATTGCCTGGTGTTTTGCAAAGCCTATATTAGGGAAGGAATGTAATAACTTACCTGAAGTGACCCACATTCATTTGCATCTCCCACACTTTTATCTGAATCAGTGCAATCAATATACATTAGGGACTAATCAATGTGTAAGCAGTGCAGACAAAATTCTTACTGATACCACTTATTACATGAGGAATGTTTTGTGTTGCCAGGTGCCAAAGACTGCAAAAACATCAGGAATATGTGATGTGCAGACTGTCTTTTTAAAAGGAGTGAGGAAAAAATCTAGCTTTTACACTTTTATGTAATAAATTCTATATTAATTAACAATGATATGTGGTACTAGTAAAAATGAATCCTTTTGTCATTAATGCAAAACAAAAATCATATCCTGTTTACACTTGCAGAGAAAATACTCATTCTTTCCATGCTGATAAATTATTTATATTTTACCTTGAAAACTTATTTTATGCTTCAAATATTTTTGTTTAAACAGCAAAAGAAATACTAATTTTAAAGGGCAAGAATTTCGTCACTGAGCCCAGCTTGGCAATTGCACTAAGCCAGAAAAATATCTAAGATTAAAAAAATAACTAATTTGCTTAATGGTTCTTTGTGGTATAATGAAAAAGAAAAAAAATGCCTGAAGGACAGTATTACTAGGCTAATCTAAGTGGTTCACCTGGAGCTCCAAAATCTTGTGTATTTCATGAGAAAGACTTACTTACCAGGTCTTGCTTCAAAGGGTGTTTAGTGTAAATGGGTAGGAGAGGCTGTCTGATGATAGCCTTTTTTAAAGCTTTATTATTTGTACATCAATCACACGAAGTTTCTTGATTCTTCAAGCTGCATACAAAAATCTTCATATTGCTAAAACCCCTTATTTTCCTCGGAGAGAAGAGAGATGTCCCAAATTCATTACCAAGCAGGAGGTGATGATAACTTCTCAGGATTCCTCCCCTTGCTCGGCATGAGGGCAGAGCCCTGTTGGGATGTTAATGGGCACCACAGGAACTCCATCAGTTCAGCCTTAGCAGTTCCCATGGGAACTCACTTCTTCCTGCAGCTGGGGTTTGCTTAGTAACCTGGTTCATGACATGGCTGTGGCATGGGAGCTGCACCTAAGCTCTCTTCAAGTCACCTGTGACTCGAGGTACAATTTGGCCACTCCATCATGGAAAGTCTCCATAAAGATACATGTTGCATGGTTACAAAGAGGAAGTATGCCCCTTCACTCAAAGAATTTAAATACCAGCCTGGCAGAACTACTTAAGTACCTTTGTAGAGCACTTTTCATTCTAACATGTAAAATTAAGGCAGCAATAAAATAAAGATGAACATGCATTTACCTGACTGCCATGATTTAGAGAAGCTTTGTGGTTATAACAGCCAGCAGAGCTTTGTATTTTCAAGGGTGGACTTTTAGAGTGTTTGTTATATTTTTAAAAGTCATAAGGGGTAATCAAACCCGAAGCCACCCAGAATGGATGGCAGTATACAAAGGTAGAGCTTTGTCTGGAAAGAAGGATCCAGCAGTGTTTCAAAATTTGGCACTGAGATGCTTTCAACAGACTTTTGCTGGAGTCTTGCAGTATCACACAAGAAACAGTTGCTGGTATTATATTATCTACCCCTTTGTTTTTAGTCCACACAGGATGTGGAGTCTATCTCTCACTTGAAAAGAAGTCAGACTCATGCTGGAGGGATTTATGCTCCTCATTTGGAAAGGCCCAGAACCAATCCAGGAAGTGGTCCAGATGGACAGCATCCCATTTCCCTAGCAATGAGTACACTGTGGGCACTCTTCAAACATTTTTTGATAAAATAAACATAAATCAAGTTTCACATGAGAGGGAGTATCCTTATGGAGACACTGACTTCCCTGCAGTAGGTCTGCAGCTCCTCTCCTGATGTAGTGCAGAGAATTAGGTGGAGAGACACACTTGTTCAATAATAGCAATGAAAGACACATTGGAACCTGTGTGACCTTCATGAGGGTCTCCCACTTAGCAGTATTTTTCTACTCTACGACACATGCTAGGAACCTCTAAAGATCTGTTTCTTCTCTCAGGTGTGGTTTTGACCTGGAAGTGATGCAGCATGGGGAGCCTCATGACCTTCACCCTCTTTGCCAGATCAGGCCAGAGAACATTTTGCTGCTCTTCCCTGTTAACTTCCCCCAGACTCAGTAAAATATTCAGAGAATAAGACATATCACTCTTACCAATTTTAACAGAAAGGGAATTATGACTGGAGAACAAATTGTTTCATATGTGTAAAGTGACTTTCTCTGCAGCCTTTTATTCTTGCAAAGGGAGGCAATCTTACCTAACCTTAAAACTTGCTTGGTCCGGGATGTGCAGGTCTGGGAACCACCACAGGTCAAGGAGCTGGGGGACAGACAGAGGAATATAAGTTCTGTGTGGCATGATAAACAGTGAAAACATGTTAAAACCCACAGGGGGAAAAAAAAACCACCACAGTTTTCATTCATTCTATGCTGTCACTAAACCCACTGACAACCTCACTGGTGTGGCTTGTCAGTGGATGGACAGCTGCCAATGCTGATGTCTGTGTGTATAACTAGGGTTCTTGGCAGTGGCTGAAGGGTGTTTTTCAAGGCCTTTCCTGATTTTTGCAGTCTTGTTTGATGTGAACTTAAGGACTCATTACACATTTAGAAGGGAGGAGGCAACTACTTTTCTCACATGCATACGTTTAACTGGCATATGTATGTGACTCACTGCTAATGAGCTTAGAAAAGCACATCTGCACAAATCCAGTGATTGGATCTAGTGCAAAACTGCACAAGGATAGATAGTGTTCATCCTTAAGGCAAAGGCATAGTTGGCCCATGAAAGTGTACAGAGTTATTGCAAATACCTGGTAATTAATTTCCCACAAAAGATAGTAATAGCTCAAAGGAGTCCTCACAGGCTATAAGGTAAATAAACTGTGTGTTAATAGCTCCCAGGTAGGTCTGCAGAGCACCACTCAGAGGATATTTTTCAGGAAATTTTCCATGTGGCTGTCACTGTTTAATAGCCCCTGATGACAGGAAGAATATTTGCTCTGAAAGATCTTGGACTATGAATGTGGAAGACTTCTTTTTTTGTGTGTTTCACTTTTTGTTTTGAAGGATAGACTCTTTCCTTCAATTTAAAGGTTTTGTGAGGACTAAGAATATAGAATATTATAGGAAAAGAAAATGCAAAAACTAGGAAAAAGCAGAAAATATTTTTAGAGACCCAGCATATTTCAAGTCAAGATGTGAGTGCATAATAATGGAGAAAGTACTCAGTGTACTGTTGATCAAATATTTAGAGTCCAAGGTTATGTACTTTTTAGTATGTATGGGGACAGAGTTCGATCTACTCCTGTGAAAAACCTCCTTCCTCCTTATATAGCTCCATAGGACATGGAGTCACAGCAGTCCCTGGTTTCTTCCTCTTAAGGAAGAAAATCCCCAGAAAGCTGTTGTGATCTCTGCCCCAGCCTGTGTACCTGGATGATCCATTCCGGTGAGCAACTGTTGCGAGGAATGCACCTCACAGCTGTATAAAAGTGCCTGAAATCATCACAGAATTATTCTCAGGTTTCTAATATACTAATCAGTGCTAATATGTGAGGTTATTAATTTTCTGCCTTTGAAGAATTTACATCTACACTTTAAACTACCTTAATTTAAAATCTCAGTAGTTTGATCAAATTTAGGTGTTTTGCTGGTGCCATCAAGTGGCAAAATGTTGGATTGCAAAACTCCAGCGCGTCCAAATTCAGTCTAGTACCTCTTGAACAGCAGCAATGAGGAAAATAGCCCTGGACAAGCAAGTCTTCTCCAAAAATACAGATGTATATAAATATATATGAGAAAAATGGACTGAAATACTCATGGTGTCATATTACTTCAGTTTGATCTGGATTCTAACTAGTAGAAAGGCTAATATTTTTGAGTATTACTAGTAATACCCAAATACTAGTAATAAATATAGGCAACCTGTGAAGCAAACTCAGAAATGCTTGTTGAAGAGATACATAAACTGAAGTGGCACAGTACTGTATTCTGAATTTCCTTTCCAAGTGTGTTTGCTGTCCTTTCTTACTAGCTAATCCTTTTAACAGAACATGGCCCTTTGACTTCGTATCGTATCTGCACTTCATATTACCAGAGTGTAATGAATATTGACTTTGCTGATATATGCACTGAATTCACAATTTGGTTAACAGACAATTTAAACATACAGTTCATCATTCATACACACACATCACTTTTTTCCTCAGCTGAGTGATGTCATAGTATCGTTGAGTAGGAAGGCCTCTGTGCAAAGAAAAAGCATAAATATATAAAGCTTATGCTCTATTTCCTTTTAAATTTGTATGGGTTTGTCTTGATTTTTCAGATGACTCTAATAGCAAAACTCATTATCGGCAGAGGGGCACGCACATAAGCTCACAGACCCTTAGGATCGGCATATGTCAAATTTATTATTTAAATCAGTTAACTTTTATACAGTTTAGTTTGCTCAGGGCACATGCTCATAACAAGATGATTGGATAGCTCAGTCTGTGCACGCATCTCACGTCTCCAGTTCATTGGACCTGATGTTCTGTCCACGCGATCTGAAATCATCCTTGGCATAGAAACCTCTTTCTAATTAATCTGCTTTTAGGGTTTTACTAAATTTGCAGGTGTTTCATTATCTTCAGTTTCTCAAGGTTTTCTTTCTGTAAACATATTATGTTCTCAAACCTTATAATTAGACACACAGCTAACAAGTATAAGCATCACATATTTTCACACAGTCTATAAGTATAAACAATACACGCTTGACACTTCCATGGCAAGCAAGGCCTACAGAGTGCAGGAAAAATCTCTCTGTCCCGGTCACAACTCATAGACGATGAGTTCTGAAAATTATCCTGGGTTTCAAAATCTACATCATGCAGGGCTGGGTTTTCAGAAGTGCTGAGCACCCATACCTGAATTTAAAGTTCCTGAGAACGCTGAGCACTTCCCCCCCATGAAAGCCAGGCTCTCAGAGACCCTCACCACACACACACCCCCCTAACACTCAGCAGGAGCTGTGGGAATGCCTCAAGTGGGCACAGCTTCTAACTTTTGACCCTATAATGAGTTATATCTGTATCATGGGGATCACTTTCAGCTCCATTTGATGCCAAAGAGCTCACAGCATATAGCCAAACTGTGTGGTACTTTTCACTGATGAGAATCTGAAGAGAAGACAGCTCCACACCAAAATCCAAAAACAACAGAAAACATTGAATGAGAGAGCCAAAATGATGGAATTGCAGTTGGAAAAATCAATCATAACCAGTAAGATTTTCCTGGTATTAGAAAAAGGCTTACAGCTCTCACCTGCCTTTGCTAAAGCTGAGCTTTACTCGAAGCATTTAATCAAGTGTCTTTTGCTAGAAGGAATGGGTGGCCTTAATTGCATGGCTGAAGAAGAGATGTTGGCTGCAACAAAGGCAGAGAAATGAGCTGAATCAGAAGATATTTGTTTGACTTCTGTGACTGGTTCAATGAACAGGAATACGCTTATAATACTCTGACTCTAACCACACATTGATAATGGTTATTGTCTTTCTTCTCTTTCCTCTTTAAGCAGGTTCCCCCATTCACACTATGCAGGGTATTGTGTGCACCTGTGCCACGGTGCCGTCGGGTGAGTGATGCGGGCGTCCATGGTCAAACTTAGCATTCCAGCTCTTGTGCAAGACTGTGTGTTCAGAAATACTGAGCACCTCCACCTCATTCCCCTCCTTCCCTCTCAGCTCCATCACACCACGGTAGTACCCGACTTCCATCCAAAGGCCAGGTGCCGTGCACCCTTCTGAAATGGACAGCCGGTGCTGAGGGAGCTGCCTTCTGACAGACTGTGCCACAGGAGGATGCTACTATGGAGCAGCAGTGCTCCCTTTAGAGCCAAATTCAGGGATTTAAGAGGTCTGAATGCTGATTTGGGATGATCAATGCATATGTAGGATTACCATGGCACGACTTCTCTTTCCAGCACTAAAATGGATACCTACTAACCTGGCAACGCTTAGTTTTTGCCTAGTTCAGTGCTTGTGAAGATGCACTTTTCACTGCTTCTTTGTTTGATGCATGCAGGTGACCTGGCTCAATAAGAAACACATTGCATTTGAAGTCTTTTGGAGCAGTGCTTCTGCAAAGTGGCAGTAGCTGTATCTCTAGGAGGATGTCTTGTTCCTTGTGCTTTGAATCAAAAGGTGGACAGCTTTCCCATTCATATCTGTCTGCTCCTCTCAGAAGAGTATGTAGTTGTAGTAGTTTGGCTGTAACTTGGAGAGGGGCCTGGCTGTGCATGGGGTTTGGAACCAGAGATCTCTTCCAATTCGGCTGTGACTCCACTACCCAGAAAAAGAAGCTTTCATGAGCTGTTCTTCCTGTGTTCTCCCTGCATCTTGGCATCTTCTGGGTAGCACTGGGCATTGCTTCATTTCGTTCTCCTCTTAAAGCCAACTTTGCCAGCTCCTTGCCAGCATATGTAAAAGCCACAGATTAGTTATGCAGAGATGCACTGGAAAATATATTCTTCATTTTTTTCCTAATAAATTTCATACACGTCATACAAAGTGACTTAAAAACAAGCACAAGCAATCACACCCCTCTTACCACTAGTTTTAGAACCACAGAGTCAGTAACTTCGGTACTTGCCCTATGTACTATACTTTCACAGCCAAAAGTTCTGCACATATATAGAAAATACCAATATCAGCATAATTTAATAGTGCATTATTTACTAGAAAGTTATATTTAAAACAACCCTAAGTGTGGGATATTATTTAAATACTTTTATATGGTTCTTATGAAAAAGCTGTATTGCCTCAATAAAAAAATCGATTAATTCTCACTGTGGATATTTCCTGAAGTGTTATTTACAGGGTATATAGTAAACATATTTATTTAGACTTCTTATGCTTCCCCTGCTGAAATTTGTGGCGCTACTATCACAGGCACAACCATGAAAATACTTCATTTGCATTTTGCCTACTTCAGCTTTCTCCTCTATAACCACTTTCAGTAGTGTAAATTTTTAATTAATTTCTAGCCTGTATCTCTGCTATGTTTCATGGAGGTCAGCGAAACTGTTGCTATTGGGGTTACTGTAGCCCTGCTGCTTACCTGTTTTCTGTGTATTACAGAAATTTAGTGTGGAGGAGAGGCTACTCTATTTTGCCCCTACAGTAGCACCACCAGCATTGTGGCTACCTGGGTACAGGTAGCTTCAACTTTTCTGTAGTAACATTTCACTGTGAGAGTTGCCCAAGACAAACAAAAAATGGATGTCATGAACGTAGGTTTATAAAGTAGCTTGCAAACCTCTTCTCCCTTTCTGACTGCTACGCTGGTTTTCTGAGATGGGGCATGTAGTTGCTGTGACTCATCTACTTTCTCATGAGGTGTTACACCTGAGTTGGCTAAAAGCTTTCCTCTCTTACGATGTGAGGGGAGGAATGCAGAGACACAGACTATATGCCATCTAGGCAATTTCCACCTTGTGGAAAAGGGAAGGCTTGTTTCTGGGCTTCTTTTTCTCTTCAGAATGGGATTCAGTTGGATTGATTAGGGACTTTACACTAGTGTGCCTGGACAACAAATAATCCAAGGGATTGCGTATTCAGAAAACAAAAACACAAGAGCAATGAAAATTCTTGTTTCGAGATCATTATACAATCTTGCACCAATCGTATCACTATGGGATCACAGCACCTTGCCGTGCTTCTGAGTTGGAAGTCCCATCAGCATCATTTAACAAGCACAGGTGCTGGATTCTCCCCCTGGGATGTGGTAATCCTGGTTATATGTACAAATGGGGGGATGAAAGTCTGGAGAGCAGCCCTGGGGAAAGAGATCTGATGAGTTAACAGCGTGCCCTGGCAGGTGTAAGAGTCAGCTTTATCCAGGGGTGTAGGAGCAGCTTAACAAGACAACAACAGCCATCTGGATGATAGAAGAAGAAGAAAATATTAAAGCAAAAATATTGTGGTCCTGAGTGAGCCAGAGCTCAGATTAGTGTGTGGGGGAAAACAATCTCAAGGTCAAGCTGGAAAGCTGCTTGACATGATTGTTCTTTGTGGCTGAAGGCAGCCACAGGAGTGTCTGTGTGGAATGTGTGCAGATAAGTAAATTCTGGCCTGGCTTGATAGTTCAGACCCTTATTCTGTATATAAATGGAATAATAAAGTTACAAGAGAGTTCTGCGTGGACAAAGTCTGTCTCCCATGGATTCATTAGCTGAAAAGGGTGCTGAGGGAGGGACCTTCTCTGCACAGGGGTGCATCCAGCACAGCACAGCGAGCCAACTAAGGGAAGTGACTGTCCCGCTCTACACTGCACTGATGTGGCCCCACCTCGAGCACTGTGTGCTGTTTTGGGTGCCTTAATACGAGATTTAGTGCTACACCTTAATATAAGAAGAACATCAAACTATTAGAGTGTGTCCAGAGCAGGACGACCAAGATGGTGAAAGGCCTCGAGGGCGAGACTTAAAAGGAGTGGCTGAAGTCTCTTGGTTTGTTCAGCTTGAAGAAGAGAAGGCTGAGGGGTGACATCCACACAGTCTGCACCTTCCTCAAGGGGGGCAGTGGAGGGGCAGGTGCTGATCTCCTCTCTCTGGTGACCAGTGATAGGACACAATGGAATGGCATGAAACTGTGTCAGGGGAAGTTCAGGCTGGATATTAGGAAAAGGTTCTTTACTGTGAGGGTGGCCAGTCACTGGAATAGACTCTCCAGAAATGTGATCATGGCACCAAGTCTGTTAGGGTCCAAGAAGCGTCTAGACAATGCTCTTAGTCATATAGTTTAGTGTTAGGTAGTCCCGTGAGGGGCAGGGAGTTGGACTTGATGATTCTTATGAGTCTCTTCCAACTTGAGATATTCCATGATCCTTTTACCTAGAGTTATCTTATGGTAACACAGAGGAGAACAAGGGCTGGGAGGCATGTTTCCAGTCTTTGAGTCACGTTTTCACTCTTGGATGTCGGAGTCTGCATCTTCCATTCCTGTTCTCCGAGGAAGACTGCAGGACTACTCTTGGACTTTTCTGAGCCCTAAGCAACATATTCTGCTTCCAGAGCTTCCTTAAAAGTCAGTAATGGTGATTTGAAACCTACCCAAGTACAGTAGATTTCAACAGAGATTTGGCATCATCATTTGCTCATCTATTAGGAAGTCTTTCTTTTTTCTTTTTTTTTTTTTTCTTTTTTAACTTATGTTGTTGTGATGAACAAGAAGTTTTGGAACTGGTTTCAGTGGAGGTGGCACCAATCCCACTACATTCTAAAGAAAAAATTGGCTGTAGTAAGAGGCTAGGAAAAGGAGCCTTGACTCCAGACGCATACCCCAGAGTTCTACCCCTCAGCTATTGTCTAGACAGATCTCTTCTTTTACAATAGCTTTCTGAAACAGCTGAACACTGACTTTTCATTTTTATACCTATGGTATTTGTGGATGCTGCAAATTAGGCCAGAAGTGAGATCTTCAAGGTCAGGAAGGCTGTTTGGGGGAACAGCCAACAGGAAATAATTATCAAATGATGGACAAAAAATAAATATGTAAATTAGGAACTTCAGGTGTTTTCAGCAAAATACTGTGTGGAGATTTGTGAGTACCAATATATTTCCACATTATTATTTAGGTATTGTGGAAAGAATAAAAGCTTAAAGTGCCCATTTTTGGAATGCAGATACTTGTACATCTCTATATTGCTGTCCAACCTGTTAGCTGTCTGGTTCTTTTCTTGGTAAAAGCACTTCCCTTAAATATTTTGACAGTGAGAAGTGTATGTGTAGTCTACACTGGCCAAGAGTCTACACCACTACCATAAGGCATTTATGTCTTTTGTCGTTTAACAAATGTACATGGAGGTTCTTTGTTCTCTTATCTTCTGGCAGTACAGGTAGTGCAATTCCTCCATGCTCCCCTTCTGCTCTCCAGGGAAGATTGCAGCAATGAAGGAATTTCCTGAATTCTTTATATCTGAAAGAAAAAAACAGAAAAAACAACCCTCCAAAATATCTTTTTGTGGCAGCAACAGTGATGGTTACCTGAAATATTTTAAACAATGGCAACTTGGCTTTATTTTCATGGCTCTGACTTACTCAGCTTATTGCGAGTAATGCTGTTATGGTGAACTGTCACTAGGAAAAGTTAGTACAACACTGATTGGCAATTGTTTAATGAAGGTTGGATGAAGTCTATTATGTTTTGTTCTGTGAGAGAAAGAAAGAAGGTGATAGATACATGCAGCATGTACATCTTGCAGTGTAATTGAGTCCCAGATGCCAGCATGTAGATACCTGTGCTGTCCTCCCAGTACTACGTAAGTGGCATATGGACAGCAAATATATGCAATAGCACAGATGGAAGCTTTAGTATCTAATTCCCACTGATTTCAGAATTTTTTATTTATGCCTTTGAAAACTTTTCCTCTCCATCTCTAGAGAGGGGGGAGAAACGTTATTGTTTAGTAGCTGTAATTCACACTGAATGCAAGCTGTGTCAGCCACTTCATAAAGATGTGCTAGTGGCTGAGGATACTCAGTACATTTCCATATGTTGGTGTAATTTGAAATCAAGCAGTTTGATGTGTTTTGATGCGTGTTAACCTCACATAGTTCTGGTTTACAGAGTTATAAAGTTGGACATCAAACTCACAGAAAATTTAAAACTTCCTTTTCTTTTGGGTTGCAAGAATTTTTCAGTCAGGAGAATACATGCACATCCAGCCATCTTATTAAGGAGTCAAGTCCTGCATGGAGCAGGAAGTTGTACTCATGACTGTTATGGGTCCCTTCCAACTTGAGATATTCTATGATTCTGTAATTGTATAAGAGCCAAAGTGAGTGAGCCCTTCCATCACTGAGTGACCCTCATTCTTGTTTAGCTACACCTTATCTCTACCACCATCTTTTTCTGATATTGTGTGTTTTTTTACTAAGGAGTGAAGCAGCTGGACATGGCTGCAGACCAGTAGGAGTGCCTTTGTTGACCGCAGTGTAACCACAGCACTGCTATCACAGCATAGGCTGTGGTGAATCATGGAGATATTCCGAGTTGCTCTGACAGGGCACAGTTTCTCTGCACTATATTCCAAAGTATGGCCTTGCTCTAGGTTTCTGGATGTGTGTTCCTGATGGAGCAATGTGTATCAGCTAAAGAAATTCTTGTTTAAGCAGAAATGTTATTAATCTTTTCTGGCACTGAGCATTACTTTGGAAACGAAGGGGAAGGGGTGTTTCTTATTAATCTATACTGGGAAAAAGTGCCATTCTACAGGTACTACCTGTATTCAGGCTTATGGTGCGTTTCAGTTCTAAGGTTCCTCTAATTTTGATTTTGTCTTACATTGTTTCAAAGGTAGAATAACATCTCCAAGCACACATCTCTTAAAATGTTAGAGGAAATAGGCCTATTATTATGTGCCTATGAGCATTTCAATGGACATTACAATCGTAACATTGGGTTTGAGTATAGACTTTCAGGTAATTTACAATAACAGCTCCAGAAACTTCTCTGTTTGACTCAAACTGTGGCAAAGTCCTAGATATCTAAATAAATCTTAGGAAAATCTGTGGGAGAGCTCACAATCTACAACACACAGACAGGGCTGGTTCATTGTGGTTTGTTCTCCCTGGTTTCTTGGCAGTGCAGTGTCCTTCTGTCATATAGTTCCTTCTGTGTGGTTCAGCATCACTGCTGCTGTCTGATGCTGTTCCTTTATCCATTTTGCCAGGGAGCAAAGGACAATATGTTTGTACAGTATGATGAACCAAAATAAGAATCTGATGTACCATAGATTATCAGAAAACTTTTCAGGTTTTTAGTTTCTGAAGGAACCGAAGCATCTATTTCTTAAGTTCTATCTACAGCTTTGTTTCCCCTTTCTGAAAGTAGGCAGGCAGATGTCAAGTCATCTGTGTTGCTGTGGATGTTTGTGTTCATTAGGCCAACTCTCATTGGAAACATTAATAAACCATTCCTGCTGAGTGCTATCTATGGGCTACTAAGTTGCAGAACAAGCACTTTACCTTAGACATAAAAGAGAAACATTGTATACAAAGGTCTGATCATCTATTCAAGTCAAATAGGACTGTGTTAAACCTAAAATATTTTCAAGTCTCCTTCTCACAAAGGATCATTTATAGCTGATATTGACGATCTCAAGGACACATTAAAAAATGTCTCAGCCCAGAGACTGTCAAAAGAGGGCTACGTTGAACACATTTTTAAACATTGGATGATGAACAATCCTTAAGAGTCTCAGTAATATAGTCAATGATTTAGTAGAGACTATTAGCATTTATAACTTCCACAATTATAGAATTATTCTGAATTCCGACAGACAACTTCCAGCTTTCTGGCTCCTTTGTTCTGAGAAAACCCCCACACCACTAAACAACTAATGTTCTGGGATCAGAACATCAGTTTGCTAGTGCCTCCTTTGTTATTAAAAAGTTACATTTTCCCCTTCATATTTGTTTTGTTGTGGGGAGCTCAAACCAGAGTGTATGAATACAGTGTCTTAAATTGTGAGCTTGTGAAGGGCTCCAGGTTTGATCAGTGCATGAAGCCAACACATCAAAAGGTGTGTGTTGCCAACAGCTTCCAGAAGGTCTTTGGAAAGAGAGTTCTTATTCACACTGGCATTTTAATCTGGATCAGGAGTCTACTTTTGACATGAATCGTCCAATAGTCTCTATGTTGCAGTGCCTTGGCCTTGGAGTATATGAACTGGGTTCCTTCCGGATGAAATTATCTGGAAGATGTATTCCAGAAATTCACCAGGAGGGTACTGCAGCCACAAATGGACCCTCAGTCCCTGGAATCACACCAGAGTTAATCCAAAGTAAAGGGCACCTGAAATGTATTTTTTCTGCACTTCACATCCTCAGCACCGACTGTATCACTCTACACATCTCCCATAGTCCACAATACTTGCCAAGTGGCATAGTCACTGAGCAACATATTGATTTGGAATTCAGTGGGTTTTTTTTAATGGGATTGGCTGAACTTTTTAAAATTAACTCTTTCCAATAAACCTATATATATATATATATATATATAAAAGAAATCTTAGTATATCAACACTGAATCTGACTAGCTGATCATAGGGTATAATCTGTACCTATCTTTTTTTGTATATATATATATATATTCATATATATATGTATATATATATACATATATATAT